GATAAATAAAAATGTCACGTAAATAAATATTTATATTTTAATTAAAAAATAAAATTACATTACTACCCTCATCTCCTAATCCCTATTATTCTCCTTCTTTCTTTCTCTTTCCTTCTTTCCTACCCAGATCCCTATTCTTCCCCTTCTTTCTTTCTCTTTCTTTCTTTCTTACCCAAATTGGCTGGGTTCTAATGAGCTGGGTAGCTGGGTTCTAATGAGCTGGATAGCTAGGTTCCGATGAGCTAGGTAGCTAGGTTCGACGAAACCCAGCATTGCTGGTCGCCCGAACCCAACCTTGCTGGGTTCATCGAAACCCAATTGCTGGGTTTTGCGTGACCAGCAAGGTTGGATTTCAACGAACCTAGCGTTGCTGGTCGCTTGAACCCAGCCTTGCTGGTTGCGCGAACCCAGCCTTGCTGGGTTTGTCGAAACCCAGTTGCTGGGTTTGCGCGACCAACAAGGCTGGGTTTCGACCAACCCAGCCATGCTGGTCACGCTTGCTGGTTTCATTGAAACCCAACCTTGCTGGGTTTCGACGCTGGGTTTCGACACTGGGTTTATGTTTTTTCATTCTTCTTTTGATTTTCATTTTCGGTTCTTGATAAATTTGAGAGTTGATTTACAATTTGATTGCATTTTTGTTGGAATTGGATTAGAGTTTGATTGCATTTGTTTATTGAAGGGTTAATTTGATTTGGTGAGATCTATTGGCTTGATGAACTCAGTGGCTTTAATGACACTAGTAATTGGGTTCGATGATAGAGAACTCAAATTTTGCTCTGGAGCATTGTAGGGTTCATAGTTTTTTTGCAAGTTTTAGTGAGTTTGATTTGTGAGAATATGAACTCTCAACGTCATAGCATTTAACCTTTTATGGGTCCACCAACAATTGGGTTTCGACGAACTCAGCCGATCTGGGTAGGAAAGAAAGAAAGAAGGGGAAGAAGAGGGATTAAGAGGTGAGGGTAATAATGTAATTTTATTTTTTAATTAAAATATAAATATTTATCTACGTGACATTTTTATTTATCTATATAACATAATTATAATATATATAATTGTCATGTCATCAAAAAAATTAAAAAAAATGTCAAATGAAATTATTTAATTGTCACGTTATATTTAACTAATGAAAGGACAAATTGTGTAATTTTTAGAGTTAAAAGATAAAAAAATAAAAAAATAATAATTTAAGACAAAAAAAGTACAAACTTATAAAGTTGAGGAATCAAATTTAACATTTAACCTTTTTTTAAAAAATTTTCCGCGCGGGAGAGGGTGACATGGAGGGTGTCATTAAGTCCATGTAAGCATCTTTGACATGTTGGCATATCCACATCAGCCATTC